AGCTGTGCCTTCCAGGCCCACTGGGACTGCAACTCTGCTCCCTTTCTCCTAGTCCATCTGAGTGGCAACCCCTTCCCCTCAGCCCCTGCAGGCCCCATTCTTCTGCCCCTTGGGCATGACAGCCCCACCCCCTCAGCTTTGAGTGGTGGCCCCATCCCCCGACACACCTTAATGGCAGCCCCACACTCTGGAACCAAGTTGTTGAAGATCCAACTCTTTGAAACCCAGGTGGCTGTGGCCCAACCCTTTGAAACTGACAAGGCCCTGCTTCTTATGCTCCTTCCACCAGTTCTGCTGATCTCTGAGCTGCTCCAGGGATGGTCTTTTTCTTTTCTTGGAGGGCAATATCTGTAGCTCCTTTGGCCTGTTTCCTGCCTGTAGAATTCCAAGAGGCAGATAATTTTCTTTCCTTTTGTCCTGTCTCTGACCACTTCAGTCTAAACTGATGGATTTTCTGCTATAGCAGTTGGTTAGATCCATCAGTCACAGGCTTAATCTCTTTAACAAAAGATTGGGTAGCCATGTCCTTGGTGAACATTCTAGACACATGTCCTTAGTTTGCACAACAGAATTTTCCAAATCTTTAGGTTCATTTTCAGTTTGCACAGTTCATTTTTAAGTCTCTTTTCTCTCGCATTTTACTAAAAGCGGCAAGGAGAAATCACGAGGCCCCTTTAAGATCCTGCTTAGAAATCTCATCAGCCAGATATCCAAGTTCATCACTTATAAATTCTACATTCCACAAACATTTGAACATAATTCAGACAAGTTCTTTGCCACTGCATAAAAAACATGACCCTCCCTTCACTGTTAAATTATATGTTCATCATTTTCTTTTAAAGCGTCACCAGAAACACACTTAACATCAACATTTCTAGCAACATTTTGTTGCTGGCACCATATATATTCTCTAAGACAATAGAGAATTTCTCTATAACTCTCCTCACTTCCTTCTGAACCCTCACCTAGATTGCCTTTGACATCCGTAATTCTATCAACAGTCTCTTCAAGGCAATCTAGGCTTTTACTATTAGGCACCTTAAAACCCTTCCAGCCTCTACCCGTTACCCAATTCCAAAACCACTTCCACATTTTAGGTATCTGTTAGAGCAGCACCCCACTCTTTTGGTACTAAATTCTGTCTTAGTTTTCTAGTGCTGCTATAACAGAAATACCACAAGTGGATGGCTTTAACAAACAGAAATTTTTTTTTCTCAGTTTAGGAGGATAGAAGTCTGAATTCAGAGTGCTGGCTCTGGGGAAGGTTCTCTCTCTCTGTCGACTCTGGAGGAAGGTTCTTGTCTCTTCTGAGCTTTTGCTCCTGACCAATCTTCATGTGCTTGGCATCTCTCTTCCCCTATCTCTTCCTGCTAGCTTGCATTTAATCTTTTGTATCTCAAAAGAGACTGACTCAAGGCACAGCCTACACTAATCCTGCCTCATTGACATAACAAAGACAACCCATTCCCAAATGGGATTATAACCACAGGCAGAGAGGTTACGATTTACAACACATATTTTGGGACGACATAATTCAGTCCATAACACTAGCTCACCCTGATTCCTTCTGGCTTTACAGTAAATGTGACCCTTCTGGGAATCCTTCTCTACTCCTTAATACAGAGTTAGGTGACACTCTTCTGTGTTTACCTCATCAACTAATTGCATTAAAGTTTCTTCTTTGACTATTTCCTGCGTTAGACTCTAAGCAACTTACGGGTAAAAAAGCCAAAAAACAAAAAAAAACCAAACCATTGCCATTGAACCAACTCTAACTCCTGGCAACCCCTGTGTTTTGGATTAGAACTGTGCTCCATAGTTTGCAATGGCTGATCTTTTTTTGGAAATAGATCACCAGGCCTTTCTTCTGAAGCAGCTCTGTGTGGATTTGAACTTCCAACCTTTTGGTGAGCAGCCAAGCACAGGTAACCATTTGCACCACCCAGGGACAAATTAAGAGTAGGGGCTGCCTTATTCTCCTATGGCTTAACGTAGCTCCTATGGCATAATGCATGCCTGGCCGATCGTACATGGTAAATATTTGCTTTAAAGAATGAATAAACTTTTTGATCCCTAAACAAGTTGATCACTATTGCTGTACTTTTTCTGTATGCAGTTGACTTTCCAATCATTAATGTTCAGTGTCTCAATTTCCAAGCAAATTTATTTATTCAAACTGCTTGTGAAATTAGCACTGGGAAAAAGTAATTTAATAAGTACTTAACCTTGGATGACCTAGCTGCCGCCTCACAAACCTTGGCCCCAGCTTTAGGTTGCTGGAACATTCGTGGAACAAACTTTGGGGACTTTTGAATTGACAGTTCAATTTAACTATTTGATCATTTATGTCTAGTGTATCATACTTTTTATGTGTCTTCCAGGCCTTAGTGCAGGGTGTATCTTGAGTCAATCTCTTTTGAGATATAAAAGAGATTAAACAAGCAAGCGGGGGATAGCTAGGGGAAGAGAGATGCCAAGTCACATGAAGACTGCCCAGGAGCAGAAGCTCAAAGAGATAAGGACCATCCTACAGAGCTGGCAGAGAAAGAAAGCCTTTTCCTAGAGCCAGCACCCTGAATTCGGACTTCTATCCTCCTAAACTGTGAGAAAATAAATTTCTGTTTGTTAAAGCCACCCACTTGTGGTATTTGTTAGAGCAGCATTAGATAACTAAGACAGCTAGAGAAAGGCATAAGAGTGGTGTGAAGAGCCTTCTAGGCAGAAGGAACAGCATATGCAAAAAGCACATCAGATTGTCACTTTCCTATTCTCCATTCTCCGCTGGCTTCCCATTACACTAAAACGAAAGCCTCAATTCTTACCATGTACTTAAAGACCCGATATAATCTGGCCCCAACTCAACTCCTACTACTCTCCCCCTCACTTCTTGCCCTCCAGATACTCTGGCCTCCTCGTTGCCCTTAAATTTGCCAAGCACATTCCCACCTCAAAGCCTTTACTCTTGGTGTTCTCTCTTCTTGGGATGCTCTTCCCCAGACACTCACAAGGCTTACTCTATTCAGGTCTCTGCTCAAATGTCACTTCTGGGATATCTTCCCTGGCCCCGCTATCTAAAATAAAATAGCTCACCAGCCTCAGCAACTCTATTTTTTCTAGCACTGGTAACTTCCTATATTATACCACCTTACATCTTCATGTGTTTATCTCTTTAGTGCCTACCTCCTCAAGAATGCAAGCTCCAGGAAGGCAGAGACTTTATCTGTCTTTGGTTCCCAGTGAGTTCCCAGGGACTATAACTGTGCCTGGCATGTGGCAAGGGCTCAATAAATATTTGTTGAATTAATGAATGAATTAATGAATGGGATGATGGCAGAGAAGGGGCTTGGATGGTTCAGTGACACACAGTTCAGTGTAACTGGCATGCATGATGTGAAGGGAGAAGCAACAGAAAAAGAGGCTAGAGTTAGTCTGTTTCCTAGAAGGTATGAACAACTTTCTTTAAATTTTCTTATTTTTATCTTGCCATCATACCCATCCCATTGGCAATAACAGCTCTTTAACCAACATTTTCAACTATTACTAATCCCTGTTCCCATAGTGTGGTTACTTAGATCCCAAGAGATAAGACGTAGCTTGAGAAGAGTGTTACACAATCCCCTGGCTTCCTTCAGAGAGAATGATCTAAGTTGTGAGCAACATAGAATCTTTCAAGCTTGATGGGACCATAACGGTAATTTAAACACCTAACACCTGCTATAACTTTACAAAAGGAATTAAGAAAGTAAACAGCAACAAAACACACACATACACTCAAATGTACAAATGGCTGTGCTTATGGAGTTCTTCCATCCAAATTCATGTGAATTAGGGAAACGAGGGATTTTCTATACTTCAGTATAGAAAGCAAGTAGTAGGAGAACTAGCACATATGAGGACACTAACTGGTAAGACAATACCAGCTCCAGAAAGGCATAAGAACAGAAGCAGAACAGACAGAGCACAGAACACAGGAGGGCCAGAATTGAGGGTGGTCATCAATATCGTGTTCATATCCGGAATGGCTGTCATTTGTGGGGTCTTACTCCATTCCAGAGATACAGAGCTAAATACTTAAATACTTGACCCAGTTTATTCTTTTAATTCCCACAGCAGCACTAGGAGGTAGATGCTCTTATTATTCCCATTTCACAGATGAGAACACAGAGGCTTACAAACGTAAAGTGTCAGGGTTAGAATTCAAACCCCATGTGGCTCCAAAGCCTGGGCTCTTAGTCTTCTGACCACCCGCTCCCACCTACCCACCCACCCCCATCACAGAATAGGCTCTTTTATGTGAATTACAAGTATTTTTTCAACTTCCTGAAGTTTGAAAAGCAGTTAGGGTTAAGGAAGGGGTGTCATAGCTCCTGCACGCCCTTCTCTAATTGTTGCCCTAGAAAAAAAACCAAGGAAGGTAAGACAGGAAAGGGACCACAGAAGCAGCAGATCAGTTCAGAGACCGACCATATGGTGGTTCAAGATCCACCAACCAAATACTCCTGGTATTCATCTCTTCAAAAGAGCTGAAAGATTATTCCTCTTAGACGTCCTGCTATCTGAAGTTCTCTCATTACTCATCTCTTGACCTGATCCTGAACTTCCCCTGTAGTTGACACTGCTCCTCTAGCCATTTACAAGATCAAATCTCCAAGTTACACAACAATACTATTTAAAGAGGGAAAGGGCATCCACATCACTTGATGGCAAACATTAAGCTCCATCCTTTTGTTTTTACCTTCTGAAGTTTTGTTAAATTGGCTTAAATATAGAAAATACTATTTAAATAGATTCTTTATTAAGAATCTTATGAAATCAACTTTAATTTCTGGCAAAGACAAAAGCAAATGAGTGATAGAGTTTTCTCATATTAAAAAGGAACAGTTATGTAATCAGCCCACATGAAACAAGCCAGGCTGAAATCAACATAATCAAAGACTGAAATATCCTTGCTTCTCTCTACAAGTCAAGATTACAGTGGGGGATTTCACAGGGGGACATACTTCTCATATAGCCTCTGTCCTCTCATGAAGGCCTTCACTTCATTGTCCAATGGGAAGGTGCCATCATCTTTTCGGAAGCGGTAGAAGAGTTTGACATCCTTGAACTCCTTATGCTCATCACATACTGAAACACAACATACACAGAGCAGTAAATGAGGAAAAAAAATCACTCTAATTACTCAAGTGAAATAAGGATGCTAACTAAGAACTGCTTCACTACATAACTTTGCAATCACGTAAATACCTACTATATGAGTTAATATATGTAAAAATTTAATACAGCACCTAGTAGAGAGTAAATGCTCAGTATTAACTAGTTAACTATCATCATCACTATTACTATACATGAAGAGGGTCACAAAATTCATCATTCATTCTGCAATTCTTCCTGAGCATAATATTGGGGCAGGCATCAGCCTCAAAACGTTTACAACCTAGTGATATAAAGAGAAATGTCAACGTGCAATTACAATATGGGGTGATAAGGTTATGAAAGAGGGAGGGAGAGACTGCAGTGGGAACACAAAGTGAAGTTCCTAACCCAGCTTTAGGGAGTGAAAGTTTCCATGAAGAGTTTGCATGTAAGTAAAGACCTGAAGGATGAGGACAAATTGGGCAAAAAGGGGGAGAAAGGGCATTCTGGCTCAAGGGAATAATACATATGCAAAGGCCTAGGCCAGGGTTTGAGATTTCAAGGAGACATGTTCATGAATGTTTGCTAAACCACTGCAAGTAACAGCAAAAACTTTGAAACCACCTAAATGTCCATCAGTTTGGATAATGGATAAATGTATCCATTAGAATGTATAAATGTATGACAGCATACCAAAAAAAAAAAAAAAAAAACAAACCCACTGCTGTCAAGTCGATTCTGAGTCATAGTGACCCTATAGGACAGAGCAGATTCGAACTGCTGACCTTTGGTTAGCAGCCATAGCTCTTAACCACTATGTCACGCATACATGGAATAGTACATAGTGTGAAAAAGAACCAACTAGAGATAATATCAGCTCTCACAAAGAGCATGTTGATCAAATAGCAAAAGAACAGAAATGCATCTCAATAAAGAAAGCAAAGCAATATGATATATTGCTTAGACATGCATACACAGAAAGTAAACGTATGAAGAGCTACATAAAAATAAACACAACTCTTGGATGACAAATGAGAATGTGGTTGGGTTGAGGGTTGAGGTACAAGACAGACAAAATAAAGTAAAATGTTCTATTTCTTAAGTGGGTAGGTTCATGTCGGAAACAGAATATTCAGTCTTTCATTTCCTCTCAAGTCACCTTGACTGGTGCGACCTCACTCACCGTGATGAATAATGCCCCGGTCTGCTAATTTCTGCATGAGTTTAATTGCCGTCTCTCTGTCGGAAGCCTCTTTGTGTTCAATCAGCCAGTCAATCAGTTCTTTTGCGACAAAGCAGTTTGGGTAGGTTTTGAGATGATGCCGTCTATCTTTAATCACCTTTTCTTCATGTAGCCTGAGCCTGGAAAGAACATTTAGCAACAGCTTTAGCGATTCAGATGACAATACAGACTATTAAACCAATCACACAGAGTAGGAATAAAAAGGAAACTCAAAATGCATCAGGGTGCCATTAAAATATCTTCTTAGCAGTTGGTAAATTTCCATACTATCAAAGCCCAAAGACCCCAGAAAGTCATTCCACCCTCAGGTCTAGAGGTGATACCTGCAAATGTGGGGGAATAACCACAGCCAACTCAGAGCTCTCATGCTACCCAAGAGGATGAGAAAAGCTCTCCCACCGCCTTATTCAGCCTCACTTCCTTTCCCTTCTACCTCCACCAGTGCAGTTATTGCTTCAAACACCCAACAAACAAAAACTCTAGCTACTTGCCGAAACAATGCTCAGTGAGGAGGCCAGAAGAGCAAGGTTTTATCCAATCAGAGTGACCATAATTAGCTAAACCAAGCAGAATGTCTCCCTCTAAGATTTACGCTAGAGCTGAAGTTTTCAAACTCTATTTGTGCTATGGAACAATTTCTTCAAAAAAAAACTTACCCAGAAGTCAGTGTGTAAAGCAGAAATTTGGATAGGGCTGTCAAGTCCAGAGTATTTCCTGGTTTCCCCACTTGGTTCTCCCAGATACCCACTCCATATCCCCCAGATTACCTACATGAAATTCTTGGAACAAAGGTTAAGAAAACTACGACTAGAAGATATCGCCACTACTTATCTCCCAGTTTGTTGTACTGTGGTAGGTAGCTTGTTGCTACGATGCTGGAAGCTATGCCCCCAGTACTGCAAATACCAGCAGGGTCAGCTGTGGTGGACAGGTTTCACGGGAGCTTCCAGACTAAGACAGACTAGGAAGAAAGGTTTGGCGATCTACTGCCAAAAATTAGCCAAGGAAAACCTTATGGATCACAACAGAATACTGTCCAATATAGGGCTGCAAAATGTGCCCTCTAGGTTGGAACGCACTCATAAATGCACAGTGACTCCAACAATAGACTCAAGCATACTGACCATCATGAGGATGGCCAGAACTGGGCAATAGTTTCATTCTATTATACATGAGTTTTTCACGAATGGGAGCCAACTGGACAGCAACTAACGACAACAGAGACGACACTGAGGAAATTAGCCAATCTAAAGTGAGAAGGAAATTGGGTGGGCCAGCACAGAGAAGCTGGGGGCAAGAGAAAGAGCCCCTGAAGGCATGAGTAAAAGATGGCAGCAGACACCAGCCTCTGGAGCTGCCCAGGATCCTTGAAGTTTTCCAGTTCCTTGTCCAACCCACGGGCATCTGTCTTAGTCATCTAGTGTTGCTGTAACAGAAGTACCATAAGTAGATGGCTATGACAAAGAGAAATTTATTCTTTCACAGTCTAGTAGGCTACAAGTCCAAATTCAAGGCATCAGCTCCAGAGGAAGGCTTTCTCTCTTTGTTGGCTCTAGAGGAAGGTCCTTGTCATCAATCTTCCCTTGGTCTAGGACCTTCTCTGAACAGGAACCTCGGGTCCAAAGGACGCGCACTGCTCCCGGCGCTGCTTTCTTGGTGGTAACTGCTCACTTCCCTTTCCTTTTATCTCTTTTAAAAGATGGTGCTAGACCATACCCCAAGGAAACTCCCTTTACATTGGATCAGGGATGTGACCTGAGCAAGGGTGATACATCTCACCCTAATCCTCTTTAACATAATCTAATCTTGCCTCATTAACCACAGACACAGATTAGGATTTATAACACTTAAGAAAATATATCAATCACAAAATGAAGGACAGCAGCACAATACTGGGAATCATGGCCTAACCAAGTTGACACATATTTTCGGGGGACACAGTTCAATCCTTGACAGGCATCCTTACAATAACCCTACCAATCCCCTCAAAAGGCTGAGTAGACTTCCCTTCCCTGGAACCAAAAGAATCTCACTACTCAAGGCTCTCAGACCTTCTACTCTGTCTCCAGACCTCCTCCCAAGCCTCCTCACCTCTTTCTCCACCTCCCAACCACAAGCATGCCTGCCTTGCACCCTGGATACACCGGACTCTTCTCCATTCCTGGAACATACCCACCACCTTCTGTGCCTCTGCTCAAGACACAGACTCCTGTGCTTAGAAGGCTTCCTCCTTTTGCCTTCAATGATCAGAAAAATTCTATTTGTCCTTCAAGGGCCACTTTAAATGATGTCCCCATTTAAAATTTTCCTAGCCTCCAAAGTCAAAAAATACCCTTCTCTCTTCTGTTTTCCCACAATATATTAGTGCCATTTGAAAAGCATTCATTCCACTGTATTATACCTAGATGAGGGCAGGGATACTAAGGAAGAGCTGCTTATTTGTTGTGGTGATTCTAGTGCCTAGCGCATAATAGGGGCAAGATCCTCATCGACATGAAAACCAATTAGTGCATACTATGCACTCAGCATTGTGGGAGGCGAGGGGCAAAATACAGAAAATACCCGTTCCAAATCAATCCACACTGACCACTGGCAAGACAGCCATCTCTATTTTAGCTGCATTTTCTATCCCACTGGCTAAAGAATTTAAATGCAAAAGCCACCTTTCCATCAGTCATCTCAGATAGCTGGTTCACAGGCTTTAGATTCAAGGTGATTCTGTAATGTTCTATTCCTGTCCAGCTAACCAGCTGCTGAAATTGCATCAGACGATTTCCTCTTCTAGCCCTAGGAGAACAAACACCACTTAGTTGCAGGGTGTTAATAATACCTACAAAATCACCGTCCAACTGATAAGAAATGTAGAAACTGTTTTTCAGAAAGGGGGAAAAAATAGCCTGCAGAGAACTGCAGCAGGCTGTGGGACTCAGGGAACAAAGGAGAAACAGAATTACATATTCTCATTTAAAAACAGCGTCATAAATCTCAGCCAAAGTACACACTTTAATTAAAAAACACAGCAAGCCAAACTGTAGGACTGACAGAGTCAGCCTTGTGATTTTGGCAATGGTGCTGACACAGATGTGCTTTAAACCAGAGCTACTGTCCTGTCCAGATGTGCTGCAACAGCCAATATATGTTCCTGGGGATCAGGGAGTCCACAGAAAGCCACTCTAATCACCTACCCTTGAAGGGATGAGAATAAAGGAAAAACGAAATCTAACACACTGCATTTCCTTTTAATGCTTGCATTTATTTTATATTTAAGCTTTTAATGATCAAAACAATATATGCTGACAGTAGGAAAAAAATTTAAGTAGGTATAAAATGAAAAAAGTCTCCTTCCTAGGTTCAGATGAACTGACAATTATTGAAGCTGGGTAACTGGCAATGAATTGACAATTGCTGAAGCTAGGAGACAGGTGAATGGAAGTTTGATACACTATTCTGTGTACTTTGGTGTATGTCTGAAATTCTCCTCAACCTCCACTTTGCAAAAACAAAAACCAAAACCAAAAAAAAAAAAAAAAAAACCAAACCCATTGCCATCAAGTTGATCTCAACTCATAGCAACCCTGTAAGACAGAGCAGAACTGCCCCATACGGTATCCAAGGAGTGGCTGGTGGATTTGAACTGCCAAACTTTTGGTTAGCAGCTGGAGCTCTTAACCACTGCTCCACCAGGAACCCACTATTAACAGTTGATTATGCACATTTGCAGAAATGTTCCATGTGCATACACTTACGGTTATTTTTTTTAACATGAAATAGGATCGAAAACGCACACTTTATTTAGTTTTGCTTCAAGAAGATGCTTGAATTCTCCTAACCTGCAAAGAACAAAAGAATAAATACAGACAGTAGAGAAAGTATAGAACTGGTTGATATAAAAAGAATGTATGTGATTTTGGTGAGCCAGAAAGAACAGCTCTCAGATCACTCACTCACTCACTCCACCCACACACACACACCCACACACCCACACACACCC